TTAGGATCATGTGCCAGTGGTGTAAGGCACGATCCAGGGCAGTGCCCCGGGGGGTGGGCGGCAGCGGGGCGGGGTTGTGCATTGTGGGCATGGGGGTGGGTCGCCTTGTGGAGGCCGGCCGTGGGGTTGCTGCTCGTGCAGGGCGGGGAGGGGTGGGAATTGTGGTTGAGGGAGGGGGCTCGACGACGGGAGGCCGTGGTGTGTTTGTGTAGGGTGTTTGTCCGCCGGGCTGTGCGTGCAGCATGTGCATGGTTAAGGGGGTAGTTTGGTGGGCGGAGGACGTACAGTCCTTTTTTAACTGAGGCTGTGGCAATAATCTGTGGGGATTCGTGTTGGTTGCTAGGATGGCGGCGTGCTGCATTTGCCAGGGCGGGGGTGTTTGCCAGTGTTGGGGTGTCTGTATTTGGTACGGAGCTGGGGGTGGCATTTGGGGTGTGTATTGCGTGTTGTATCACTGTCCCCGGGGGTAAGGGCGTCCCCTGTTCCGCCCTTGTGGACGGGTTTGGGGTGCACGCTTGGTCGGGCGGGAATCGGGGGTACTAAGGCCTTGGGGGGTTGGTGGTTTGTTGTCTTGCCGGGCCGTTGTTCGGGCTTGTACGGCGTTGAGGCGTTGTTGGATCGCCCGGATTGAGATCGGGACGGACGGGGTCTCAGCCCATGTGTCGGGTAAATGTTTGAAGGCGTGATGGTGTTCTAGGCCTTTGATAATGGCATCGACGGTTGCTGTTTCGTCGGCAGACATGTTTGGGTATTGTGCAAGACGCATGAGCATACGTAGCGTTCTGTGTTTTTTTTGATGTACTCGTCGACTGTGGTGTCGGGGGTAAGGCGAAGGCGGTCGGCTTTCTGCCTTAGGAGTAGATGAGTTGTAGGGGAGCTGTCCGTAAAGTGGGTTTCGATTTTTGACAGTAGCTTGGCTGGTGAAGCGTCGAAGGTTAGGTCGGTTGTTTCCGCTAGGTCCTGTGAGAGACTGTTCGTAATCAACATACGCATTGAGGCGCAGTCCTTTGTGTGCTTGGCCTGTTGTACGGGGTCCTGTGGGGAAGGTGTGTGTGAGGGATCAAGCGCATGTTGCGCGTCATTGATAACGGCGATGTCTCGAAGTGCTTGTCTCCATATGGGGAAGTTGTTTCCTTCTGGGAGGAGGGCGGGTAGGTGTCCGTAGAAGGGGGAGGGGCGCCGATTGGGAGTGACGGTTTCCTCGTGTGGATCCATGAGATGGGTGGAGGGGGGACGGCGGTGGTGTAAGAGGGGGTTGCGTGGTGGGGCTCGCGGGTGTGGTGCGGTGCGGGGATGGGAAAGTGTGGGGGGTGGTTAGTGCTGCGAGGCGGCGCTCGACGTGTTGTGACGGAGGCGGGACTGACAGGACTGGGTTGGGACGATCTGCGGTGTGACGTTCGACGAGGGGGAGCGATGGGGAGGCAGAGTCAGTCGAGGGAGGGGTATACTGCAGACTGGTGGGGGTGTTGCCGCGTGGTGCAGGAGGTGTGAGGCCGGGTGAGTGGCGTTGTGATCTGCGAAGGGGCGGTCTGTGATCGTGTTGCAGGGTGGGTTTGCGATTCGGGACCATAACCTGTGGTGCAAGGAACGATGGTCCGATGCTTACTGAGGCTAGAGGTCGGTGCACTAAGAGGGACGGCGGCGGAGGCGCCGTCTCTGGGGTGGACACCTGGCGTGCGTGTGTGCGTGTCACAGGTGTACATGGGAATCATGACATTTTCAAACCAATTCGTTAATTTGCCCCGCTACCGGCGCTGGCCATGGCTCCTAACGAAGAGTTCGCCGTGCCAGCACCCGAGCACCCTGAAACTTGGCATGAATGTATTGGTTGAAAAAATTATTGGAAATGCTTTTTCTCCCGTTCAACCAATCCATTCATGCCAAATGTCAGGGTGCTTGCGTGCTAGCACACCGAACTCTTCGTTAGGAACGGCCCTGAGGTCAAGAATCGCGGCTCTGGTCTCGGATGACAATCCGAGGACAAATCAATTTGACCATATAATGGACAAAACCATGAATGGCACCACTTCATTGGATGGCCATCGCCCTATTATTTCTCCAATACGTGTGACCTCTCACAAGCACATCGAGCTGGACAGGGAGGGAGGTTGGAGCAACCAGAAAGCCCTTTAGAAGTTGCACACTCACAACCAAAAGACATATCCATTTTCAGCTGTCTCTGTTTAAGTACCGAGTGCATCGACACATCTCCCAACGAACCCACCGAACGACTTTTTTATGCCAGCTGCATCGGCCTTCTTGACCTGCGCTCCGCTTATCATCAGACACATTCGCAAATTGCCCCATAACACCTCCACTCCAAGGACCCTTCAAACGCGACCCAGAGGAAGACAGGCTCACTTTCACACACACCCAATTCAGCACGTGTCCAAAATGACAGCTGACTACACCATCTATTATGCCCCAACTCCAAATGGGAAGAAGATCACCCTTGCCGCTGAAGAGATGGGTCTTAACTACAAAGTGGAGCCCGTCCGATTCAGCAGCAAGGATCAATTCAAGCCCGAGTTCCTGAAGATCAATCCTAACAGCAAGATTCCCGCTTTAGTAGACCACACCGCCACGGGCGGTGATCTAGCGGTCTTTGAGTCAGGGGCCATTCTTGAATACTTGGCTGAGAAGACTGGCAAACTTCTGCCGCCGGCGTCGGACATTCGTAGGCGCACTGCAGTCAAACAATGGCTTTATTGGCAAATGGCAGGCTTCGGACCTATGCTCGGACAAGCCGGCTTTTTCTTCAAGTTTGCCAAGGAAGATATTCCTGCCGGGAAAGAAAGATACTTGAACGAATCAATTCGCCTGTTTGGCGTGCTTGATAAGCAGCTGTCCGAGAACAAATTTGTTGCGGGAGATGAGTACTCAATCGCCGATATATCCATCTACTGGTGGTCCATTGCCGTATATGATGTTGATGAAATCAAGGAACATTTCGAGAAGTTTGAGAATGTTAAGAGATGGCAGAAGAAGGTTGCAGCACGGCCTGCTGTTGAGAAGGCGAAAGCCGTCGAATTTTGACTCATGAAGCCTACGATGCGCTTGTCGCAGTTGGTGGTCTGAACTTGTGCGAGAGCATGGCCGTCGTCTTGACGTGGTTCTCGAACCGGAAGTCCCGAGTGATACGTACATACTATTGTTGTTCTTGTACTACAATTGAGGCATTTATTATACTTGAACCCTCTTGTTATTTCTTCGCTTGTATTCGTATGGCAGGATGTAACTGAGTTAGATCCTTTGTTTTGAAGAGCAGCGTATCGTGAGCTTTCTGAGCGAATACAGCATTCTCGTGTGGCCAGCTGCAGTAGTCATTTTGGTGGAATCGAGTAGTATTTCGGTGTTATGCGGTGATGCCATTGGCGGCGCCTACAAGTGCAGACTGTAAAGCCTGTTTGCCGTGGAAAGGCAGAGAGAGTTGTTTGCACCATGTGACAACAAGCGTGTTAGGGTGAAAACGGGGTACGTCGTCCCGTGTCTTACCCGTGTGTGTTTTTTTGTGATGTGTGATGTCTCTCTGCTCTCGGTCGTACAGGACGACCGAAAACCACCGCATTTATACTCTTTTTGCGCGCGGTCTACAATTACTAACTTAGACTTCCAATTACTTACACCGGTCCCAACCACGTGTCACACAACCCCCCACTTAGGCGGGGCCACGGGCCCCGGCCACTCAAATTTTGCCTTTGATTTTGATTTTTTGATTTTTTGATTTTTTGATTTTTACCCTCCAGCCTATATCAGCACAGACCTGCGGCTCGGACCCCCCTTCCCTTCCTGTGGTATCTGCCGTCGCTCTCCGTTCGCCTTCTCGCCCCACCCCAGCTTCGGTTTAGCTCTTTCGGGCTCCTGCTTCCTGCGCTGCTTAGCTCTCGCCGCTCTTCCGCCGTGCCTCCGTGGTCCTCGTCGTAGCTTAGACCTCCTGCTTCCCGCCAGATCGAGAGGCACGCAGGTGGGGTTTCAGTCCCCGTGTGCCCTCTTTGGCCCCCCTCATAGCGTAATACGATGGCGAGGACCAAGCAGACAGCGGCGAAGAGCACAGGAGGTAAGCGTCCGCGGAAGCATCTGGCTCTGAAAGCTGCACGCTTCGCCAGCCGCGACCACTTAATGTTCGAGCTCTCATCTCGAACAGATGTAACCAAGGTTTCCAAGACGGGCTCCATGTTCCACATTTGGGTGGCCAGCGGGCATCGCCGTTACGCTGTAACAGAACAAGAGTTCAACAGCCTTCTAGGAGATCATATTACCGCCCTGCTCCACCGCAAGCCAGATGAAGAGGTCTCTCTCGAAGAGATATGGCGTCTTGGTCTCACAGAGTCGTTGTCGGACACAAACCAGTACTGTATTATCGGCGACGGTGAGTGGAACATTGAGTCCATCTACCTCGACGTTGACAACACGTACTATGGCGTCGATGCCGCAACCAACCTTCCTCACCGTATTTTGCTATATACTCTAGCAATTTCCGGAACCGGGAATAGTACAACTCACAAGATTGTTGACGATCTCTTCCAGTTTGGTGGGAGGGACCGAATTAGTGCCTTCTTAAGTATTGATCGTTTTTGCACAGATCAAAAGGGCAGGAGTCTGAAGATGATCCATGGTCGTTCCAGGGCGGTCAATCCTCGGACTCCGATCTACCGCGTTTCCACACACGGGACCGTGCGGTTCCGAGATAATAGTGACATGTGCATCTCCGCCGCCGTCTGCAACGGTCTCCAACTACTAGGGTCTCCAAACCTTGCCGTCAAGTACTGGGATCTTTTCGTACGCAACAGCCTCCTCTTTGAGAGGACCGGCTCTCCGTCGCGTCGAATCCGAGATTTCCATGACGCTGGAAAACACCTTAATCAAGATGAAGTCGCTCTCCGCGGGTCGGGTCTTCGTAGTCCATCTCTCGGACTCCTCTTGAGGCTCGACCCGGGTGTCTATGTCGCGACCTTAGAAGGCTTGCCCCACATAATGCACAGCATCTGCATCTCGACCATACATTCCATTGTACTTGATTGTATGGAGGGGTTTCCGCTTCGGCTCTGCGCCGGCGCGGTCAAAGCATGCGTTGGAGCCGACGGGATCTTCGTTGGCGTCTCCGAACTGCGGCAAGTTCTCGTCGTCACCCCTTCCAAGAAGAAAAGGAGCAGAATTGGACGCGCAAGCAGCCGCAGAGCGCACAAGAAAGCCGCGATTCGGGGTTCGGGAAGTTCCATTCAGCATTAGAGGTCATTGGTGATTCCCATTGTCTCCATGACCCACTCTCTATCTACTTGTAGCAAGTAATCAGCACTTCATATGCATTTCACTATCTTTCAATTCAAAGCGTAAAAATCCCTAGTCATTTGCCTCACTGAAGGTGCAACGGTTGCCTCCTGTAGAGGACCAGCCTTCTGGCATGTATCTCCCTTCTCGAGTAGCGTTGATGCGGCGACACTAGAGTGTACCGCGGATGGCGCGCACGAGCAACTCGGCATGGGCCATAGAACTTCGACAAGGCGATAGGCCATTTCTGCATGGGCCCGAGGGCAGCCCCTTTTGCGACCAACACTTCGTCGCCCACATTGAAAGTTGCTTCGCGACCGTCTGTTAATGTGGTTGCAGCTCTGCGCCCGATTATTCTTGTTGCCCGCATCGCTCTGGTTTGCAGGAGTTCCATTCCCGGTGGCGGATCTCGGAGACTCCGAAGAGAGGCTCTTGGTCTCCAGGCGCCATCCTGGGCAACACCCCATAAAGCAGCTCGAACGGGGACAATCCCACCGCCATCCTCCTGCGACGGTATCCATATAGGACTTGACGTAGAGCATTGTCCCACTCAACAATTGCAGGCGAGGCACCGAGAATCATCTTACGGACTGCTCTCTTCAATGTGCCGACCATCCGCTCTGCCCGTCCATTCGACATAGGCGCATAGGCGAGCACTGTCTTCCACTTAATCCCCTTTCGTGCCATGAAGGCATTCAGGACCGACGCTGTGAAACAAGTAGCGTTGTCCGAGACAACGACACGTGGTAACCCAAAACAGTGGATTATCTCTTCTTTCACGAACTTCAGCACCTCCTCTGCCGTCGAGGTGACGGTGGCCTTCGCAATTGGCCAGCCAGTCAGGTGCTCTACGGCAATAAGGATGTACCTCCCTCCAGAGGGCGTACGAGGCAATGGTCCCGCAAAATCGATAGAGTATGTATCAAATAACGAAGTCATGGGAAATCGAAGGGTGGTCTTGTACTTCGGAATTGGTGTGGCTTTCTGACAACCGTCACAACCCCGAACGTTGTCTTTCACGTCTCGGTGGACGGCAGGCCACCAATATCGGTCCAAGACGAATTTCTTCGTCGTTTGCAGATCCCAATGGCCTATTTCGTCGTGAAAGGCTCTAACGATCCTTCTGCGAGCCCCTATAGGCGGGATAGCGCGTAATCCATTGTTGGTCCTACGGAACAGTTGTCCATTACAAGCCATGAAACGTTTGGCGCTTCGGCGGTTGAGCCGACGTCGACGAACATCCACTTCCCTCATATCAATACCCCTGAGGTGCCTTGAAATGTCAATAAGATGGGGTTCCCACTCCATTGGCGCCTCCAGAGAATCCGAAACACTGCAGACAAGATCTCCCTCGTCGTCAGAGTCGACTCCATCCTCGCCCTTGGCTTTCAGGCGGGACAGGAAGTCAGCTGCACCGTTCTTTCCTCCCGGGCGGTACTTAATTTCGAATTCATATTCTGCTAGGAATTCCATCCACCTTGCCAACCTCCCGTGAATGTCTTTCTTCTTAAAGGCATACTGCAGGGCTTGGTGGTCTGTTATTAGCGTGAACTTCTGTGTTGAAAGCAGGTAAACTCGGAACTTCTTCAAAGCGAAGATCACAGCCAGGGCCTCTCGCTCACAGGCGGAATACTTCCTCTCGGCTGACGTCATCGTGCGACTTGCGTACTGGATCGGGTGGACTTTCCTGTCCTCTTTTCGTTGGGCCATAACAGCTCCGACGGCGACCGAGGATGCATCAGTCTCCACGACAAAAGGTTGTTCGAAGTCGGGAAACGCCAAGACTGGCGGGGAGGTTAACTTGAGCTTAAGCTTCTCGAATGCCTCCTGCATCTCCGCCGTCCACTTAAAAGTCCGTTTAGTAGACGTGGCCTCATGTAACGGAGCAGAGATCTCGGCGAACTTGGGAATGAAGCGGCGGTAGTATCCCGCCAGACCAAGGAAGCTACGAAGCCCTGTCGCATTGGACGGCTCCTTCTCCCTCTTAATGGCGCTGACCTTTTCGGGGTCCACTTTGACGCCATCTCCGGTGACAATGTGTCCAAGCAGTCGCGTTTGGGACTGTGCGAAGCTGCATTTTGAGATCTTAAGCTTCAGCCCGCTCGTAGCAATCACCTTGCAGACTTCACGTAAGTGTGAAGTGTGCTCTTCAACGGACTTCGAGAAGACGACTACGTCGTCTAAGTAAACTCTAACGAAGCTAAGCCTTTGGAAAAGCTGGTCCATCATCCTTTGGAACGTAGAGGGGGCGTTCATTAACCCGAACGGCATTACCTCGAACTGAAACGTCCCAAAACGGCAGACGAAAGTCGTCTTCTCTTTGCAGTTCTCAGCCATTCGGACTTGCCAATACCCCGAGAACAAGTCAAGCGTT